AGGAAAATCTACAGATATAAATCAACAACACTCGTAAATACAGTAAAATAAAAATGCAGTTAGCATTTATTAAAGTGTTTTCCACTGCGTATCCTAATACCCTACCCAAAAAATCCTATAGCCAGCTTTTTTGTAGAAAAAAACTTGCAGGAATTAGGGATAAATGAGTGAGCCTACATAAACTACTGTTTCCAAGCATTTTGATTTTTCTTGCGCAACCTTTTTACTGCTAAATTACGGCTGCGATAACAGACAAAATTAGTAAACTTGGGTAATGATATATGGACTATGGTCAGAATTGATCTTCAGTACTTTGTTGAAATATTCTGATGGTGTTTATCTAAAAAGTTAAAAATGCGCATTAACCTGCTCCAAATTGAATTCAAAATATGTAATTATCAATTAAAGGAATTAAAGGCAAATGCTTACCTGAATTGGGACGTTAAAAACGCACAAAAACATATCCGAGAGTGCCAAGCATGTAACGAAAATACTTGTTACATTGCGATTAACGCCTCCTTTGACAATAAGTGTCACAACTATAATGAAGTTTGCAAAGAAACCAAATGTCGATACAGTTGCGTAAAGCGTTATTATTGTAGCCATGTTCACTGTAAGCCTGTGACTCCCAAAGGCAGTTGAGGCGAAGTAAGCAGCATCCGGCCTTGATTCATTTGCTTTTAGCATGACAATTGATAAATATCTGGCTAAAAAAACAGACATAGCCATTACGATTAAGAAAAGTGATCACCGAAATTGATTATCATAATTTTAGAGCATACAAGGACATATATGTGTATAAAAACAACAAAAAGGCTTATGCTTTATTCTGCGTGCTGTTTTGGATAGACGTCTCCCAAACCATCCCCGTGTGACTCTTTCAGAAAGAAGGCCATAGGGCTAAAATATTGCGACAGTTTAGAATAATGTGTGTACACGAAAGCTTAGAAGTGAAAACAAGAGTCACTAGTGCACAATGAAAGTAAATCGTGCATTCAAATGCATGATAACCAATAAAATAAGGACTTAATCAAATAAGTGACTTGCTTACCACGTGAGTGTTACTCTAACTTTAATTCCAGTGGGGAAGTTGACGGATATTACCATGTAGGAAATCTCGCAGTATTGGTTCACATTGGCAAATGTACTGACCAATGGAAATCGTGGTGTGATTGTTTAGCCAATTGGAACATTACACTACATATCGTGCGTTTGGACGTCAGTTTATGAGTTTCGTTAACAAGGGCCCCGGTGTGTTACGTTTATTTTCGTTTTTAGCAAACAAATTTGTCAGGTTCTCTTGGAACATGTTCTTTAAAATGCACTAGGAAATCATAAGTTTGCTTAATCGGTACTTACAATTAACGTTTCTAATTTAAAAATAAAGGTTATTTCAAGTTGACCCAATTGTGAAAAAACTCGAGGCCTTTGGCGGGATTCGAACCAGTGTATCATGGAAAACCTTTGCCGAGGGTCAATGCTCTAACCGCTAAGCTACAAACGCCCCGCCCTGCGCCGTGAATTTAATCACACTTGGGTCGATATTACCCGCCCAACTTTACGGCCAATATGCAATCCACCAATACGGAACAGTAAGCTGACTGCA